ACACAACAAGTGTCCTCAGCTGCTCCTTGTACAGCTTCCCCTCCAGGTCCTTCACATCTTTGTTGCCTCCTCTGGTTGGGAATAGCTTATAAACTGAATAATGGCAAAAAAATTCCTGGACTTTGTCATTGCTTTTGTGGTAATGTGCTCCCAGTCTCCATCCCTGTGACTCCAGGCTGAGGCTGCTCCTTGTTTTTATTTAAATGTGTTCAATTACCTTTTTTTTTTTCCAGGTATTTTGGCTGCTGCCCAGTTTTCAGGCTTGTTATCTGCAGGTATCAGTGTCCCATCGTCTCTTACCACAGGCAGAGGGCAGGAGGGAATCGTATGGATTTAACAGGACATCTCTGTGCAGCTTCTCTCCTTAAGGTGGCTGATGTGGGGAGAACAGGCTGTTCTTTGTGCAGCTGGAGACACTTAAAACAGTTTGATCAGACACTATCAAATGAGTTATTTGGGCATTCATGATCGGTTCTTACAGATATCCAAGGCAAGACTCATGGGCTTCTCTTATTTTAGTGCCTTCTTGCTGGAATTGCAGCGTGGAGGAGTTGGGAGGAGCCTTGTTGGCAGGAAATGGTTAAGAGCTGTTCGTATCACCTGGGAAAGCAATTCTTTGATTTTTCAGAGGGCGCTAACATGCTGCAGTTCATGGAAACAAAGAAAAGGGGATCAAGTATAAAAGTTGTTCTTGGATTTTATTCTCAGTGGCAGAACTTCTGAGGGCTGAATATTGATGTCTGCTGGAAAATGCGGAGTTTGGGATGAAAAAGAATTTTTTTTCTTCTTATCTACATTCAAAAAATGATCTGTGAGGTAAGTCTTGATTCCAACTGGTGACTTTAGATAACTTCTTTTTAGGTTGAGAGGTAAGAAAAACCTTTATCTTGCTGACCCATTTTAAAACAGCAAATTCTTTGCTTGAATTGTTCCTTGGGCAGGGAGCACAGGCAGAAGTGTGAGTCAACAACTAAAAAGCCCACAACGCTTTCCCATGTTGTCTGCATTCAAATTGCTTGCATTAATTTCTGAGCAGAAGTATGGAAATTCAGGAACTGGGAGAAACATAATGAGTCAGGGGAATTTGCCACTCAGAGTTGCAGTTTCAGCGATGACAGGAGTCTTTCAAATTGTAGTAGTATCTATGTTAATGTACTTTTGCAGTTGATGCTTCAAGCATCTTCTGTTGGTGGCTCCTAAAGTACTTCCCAAGACTTGTCTCTTTAATCCTCACTGCACTCTCAAGGCTTTTCTATTTCCAGTTCCTCTAAGGACTTTGGTAACAGCTGGTGCAGTTGTTACCCTTGTGCATGTGCTGATCCTTATGGTCATACTGGTTTTGGAGCTATAAGAGGAGTTTCAATTGCCTTTAATTCCTTGCCTGTTTGCAACTGAGACTAAGGAGTTATTCACCTTAAAAAGTGCTGCTGGTTTTCATGTGTGTGTGTGAAAACAGATGCTTTTTCACTTGAGTGTGGCTGACCAAAGTGTGGTGGATGGTAACAGCTCACACACAGTTGTCACTGAGAGCAAGTGCCATACGTAGGGAAGTCTTGGCATCCTGTGGAATATATCCTGCAAAACCCATCCATTCCCCTTGGAAATGCTGAACTGGAAATACTCTCACTCTTGGGCAGGTTAATTGCAGCTTGTTCCTTGAGGTATTTCTCTGTGTCTGTCTCTAAGGTAGTAAATTCTGCTGGAATTATGAAGTTTTTTTGGGGGGGAGGGGAATGCTAATTTCATTTATTTCTCTTTGTAACTGTCAGTTAGTGCTGTAAGTAAGTGGTGTGTGATGTGGGGGGTACTTCCCATTGGGATAACACGTGCAGTGCCCTGGTGTAACACACTGCCCATCTCGTGCTGTGATACAGATAAGCATCAGTCCCTGCAAGAGTTGCCTTGCCAGTTCTTCTTGCTGCTGCCTGCTCTTCCCAGTTTCTCTCACACCCCCACACTTTGCTCAGACCCTCATTGTCCAGAAAGGAGAAGAGTATAATCCTGGCAGAGCTGGTGGATGTTACTTCTTTCATCTTGGACATGAACACACTAAAAGGCAGAGTCAAGGCTGTTTAGTTCCTGCACATTTTATCCCTTATCACTGCATTTTTGCTCCTCTCATCACACAAAGCTTTTATCATCTCCCTGTTGGTGTTCATAAGGTGCAGGAGAAGCTGTGGATGTTCACAGCTTCTGAACTATCTGTTCCCAGATTCTGACTGGACAGGAATCTTTTATCACCCTGCCCTATTTTGGATTAAAGTGTTCTTTGGTAAAGTTATGACATGCTCTGATCTATCACTTTTTGCTGCTTTTGGATCTTGAGCCTGGATCCCTGTGACAACTGCAGAAATAAATCACTGGATCTCAGGGTCAGAAACTCTGTGTTGGAGCAGATTGGACATGATTCACAGTTAAATGCTGTTGTTAGGGATGTAGAGAGGGGATTGCTTTTGCATTTAAACAAAAGATTGCAAACACAGATTGTCTTACAAAGATTTCTCTTATTTGAAAAAGTTATTTTTCTAAAAACTCATCTGCTAAGTGCTTTTGCTTCTGTTGTCAGTACCTGACATTCCTTTAAGCTATTCAGCGTGAAAACCATTCCCAATTCCTTTACCAGTGCCATTGATTAAAATGCAGTTTACTTTTCTAGGGAAAATTTGATATTCAAAAATGTCTTTTTGCTGTGAGTCAGAATGTACTTTTCCATGGAATAAAAATTCTGGAGAGGGGAAAAAAAATGCTATTGGCATCGTTGAACAAATTATATTGTCATTTCAACCAGGTTATATAAGAAAAAAGAAAGAACTTCAAAGTCAAAATGAAAGGCTCTGGTATTTTTCTCATTTTTTGAGAAAATTAGTGCATTTTTCTGCAGTTGTTCTATTTTATCTGTTCAGAGTTTTCCATATGAAACTCTGAGAATGTTCTGTACTGGCCCTAACTCCAAGTTCCTGTTTAATTCAATTGGACGTTTCAAATGACATATTAAAAGTGAATTATGAAGCTCTTTTTTCTCTCCTGTGTCCTCAGCCATTGGTGTTTCACTATCAGAAGAAGTTGTTTCCAGCATTGTAGTTCTCATGCTACTGAAGAAAACTAGACAGGAAAAACCTTTGGAATGCAGCAGGTTAAAATATAATTTTGCTGGGAGCTGTGTTGCAGCTTCCAGATTAGAGATAAAAAAATGTCTGGGGTAATTACTGCTGTTTTGGATGCCCTCACATGATGCTCTCCGTGTCAGTATTTCTGTGGTCACGTTGCACCACACTGCTGTGGTCCTTTCTTGGGTTTTCAATATTCCTTTGCCCTTAATTGAAAACACTTTTCTGTGCTAAGTAGAAAGGAGCTGAGCTCTGCTCTGTACTGTGCACTGAGGTGTTGCCGAAATTGTAGAGGAAAAACACTCTGTGGCAAGATCTGCTTTTCACTCCTCTAAAAAAATAATCCCTAGGAGAAGGGGATGCCCTGGGGGTGACAGGATTTGGGCTCTGGCTATGCCCATCCCTGAAGCATCCTGGATTGCAGGGGTTCTTGGTGGTGTGAACTGGCCTTGGACTGGTGGTGGGCACTGGCAGAAGGACCAGCTTGGGGGGAGAGAGTACCTTGAGGGTGTGGTGGTCCCTCCAAGTCTCGAGGAGGGAGCAAATACTGTCACACTGTTTTGGGTAGAAGGTCAGAAAGATAGAGATTCCATCCTACACTTTTTCAGCAACATAATATCCTTGTTAGTAAATTTTTCTCAGTGTGCAACCTGTCTGCAACTTAATTAAGCCCATTATTCCTTGTCCTAGCCACACTGGTCCTGAAGAGCAGACGTTATAATGTCTCACATACTTGTCCTTTCTCTGTACTAACCAGTTCTTTCATTTTACCACAGATGATTTTCTAGCCCTTGGATCTCTCCTTTGGACTCTCTCCAGTTAGTCCATTATCTTCCTAGAAGTGTGTTGCCCCAAACCAAACAAGACTTCGGCAGAAGCTCTACCAGAGCCAACTGGAGGGAGAGGATTCCTCAGCTCTTCTCAGTGGTGTCAGAAAGATGAATTTCCTCCTCAGCTCTTCTTTTCCACACTGAGTTGTCTCAAGTACTTGTTCTCAACTCTGCTGCTGGTGTCCATATGATTTGGTAACTAACTCATCTGTTCTCTGCCTCAACTTCCCTACAATCTGGAAAGAAAAGCTTCCATATATATTTTACCTCCTATTTAGCTACTTGAAACTTCTGGATGAGGGGCACAAACTAAGTGGAAAGTAAATCAGGGCATTTGCAAGCCAATTTAGAGCTCAGCAGAAGCAAAGAAGTGGGCTAGATATTTTATAAAATCCTGGAAGAAATGAGGAAATGAACCTTTCAGTCCAAACTAGAGCTTTATTTTGGAATTCCTTAAGGAGAAACTGGAATTCTGCCACACTGTAATAGTCTTATGTTGTAGGAAACCAGGAATGC